TGCTAGCGCTGTCTTGTTAGTAATAATCTCCAGAACCGCTTGTAAACTAATAATGTGATTCAACATATAAATTGGAGTCCTATATCCCCATGATCCATCCTCAGCCCAAGTGGCAGGTCCATACACCTGTATTATATGTTCAGGTGGCCATTCATTATCCAATTTCCAATTTCCAATGATTATTTTCTCCTAGCTCCCTTCTCATATACTGCTACTCCAAGTTTTTCCCCTTGAGGAATAGGAAGTAGGAAAAAACTAGGCTTTATATTTCCCAATACACATGAACCACACCAATTGCTAGGTAGGCTGATATATGCAAATTTTCCACATATCCAATAAAATTCTTGTGGGGCGAACCATTCTTGGGATGCATTATCCCAAAGCCCCTGTAAAACCGTGTTATTAAAAGGATTTTGTTCAACACCATGCATGGTTCTTCAATACTTGAATCCCCGTAAGATCTTTGACCCTCGCATATCATAGTTCCTACTTCCTCCTGGTTTTCAGCAGTTTCTCTGAAAGCAGGAGTGACCTATAATGGATGTAGTTAAAGCCCATTTTGACTTTTCTTTATTAATTTAGTAGTCCAAGTAGACATAATGTTAATGTCTTGGATATCAATTTCTTTAGCTTCCCAAGGCCATTGTTCCCCCATATTTATTCCACCACATACATAACAATTCTTTACTCCCAGAGTGGTAGCTATCCTTTTAGCCAGATCTATAAATAGATTTTTGGTGAGAAAGGTGAGTCCCCAGGTATCAAGCTCCTCATAAAAGGAGTAGAATAATTTTCTTTCTATTGGGGTCAGATTTTTCCTGGTTACTTTAATGATGATGTGGGTGCTCGGGTCCTTTCCCAGGCTCTCAATTCTCAATCCATATTCCTGTGATCCTTCGTCGGGATCCACAAAATGCAAGCATGTGGGGGTATAATGGTCTTTTAAACAATCAGATTGCCAGACCCCCTTGGTTAAATTAAACCAACTGCTCTTCTCTGTCCACACTCTAGGTGGACCCCTACCATCAGAGTACCAATATGTCTGGGAAGTCACATAGGAGCTTCCTCTCTGTTGTTGGTCGTAAACGTATATCCTTTGTGTGAGGTAACTCTGCTGCCAACTCAGGTTCCCACAGGTGGTCCAGGGACTAAACTTCATGGCATAGCAGGCATCAAAGCAGATTCTACTCTTGTGATTAGCAGAGGTACTGGTGTTCTGTCCTAATAATAATGATGTTAGATTCTTTCCACTTTGAAAGGTAAATATCTGAATGGTTGTTTGATATTTCACACTAGAGGGGTCAACGCATGTAACCCTTCCTGTTTCATTACACAGGGAAAATCAGGTGGTATTATGAACACACGTTCCCATCACCTTCTTACAGTTCATCTGAGTTTTGGTTATCTTATTACCCATTTTGGTGGTTCTAATGCAAGCATTACAGTTATCAGAGTTATTTGTACTTTGACCTTTGCATATGCTCCCGAATCCTACTACTCCCATTATAATCCATATTTTAATTACTCATGTAACCAGAGCCCTATTGAAGTCTAACATTATCCCAATTCTGTCCACCCCTGGAAAAGTACTTCTTCCCTTTCATTTTTAACACCACCGCCTGTAACAGGGGCTGAGATTGGTACTCGGGACACCAGTGATCACTATATGACACTCTTCTCCGTAGTGTCTGTGTATCGGTGCACAGTCTGGGCAATGGGAACAACAACAACAATTACACCAACATTTACAGTCACAAAACCAACACATTTAAAACTCCCCCCCTTTTCTAATGTCTCTATATTTTTCTTATTATCAACTTCAAGGGGTCAGGTTGAGGCACACTTCTCCACTCAGTTGGAGCTTCTGGTCCTTTTACACAGGTGTAGTGGGTCTAGCCTTTCTCTGCCGTTTGTACTGCTGTTTCGGATTTCAGCAGCACCTGAAAAGGGCTTTCCCACTTTGGAACCAGCTTCTCCTCCTTCCAACTCCAGATCAGCACCCAATCTCCGATCTGGAATTTGTGGACTAGAAACTCCAAGGGAGATGCTTGTGCCAGGAATCCTTGTTTCCTGAGAAAATCAAAATATCTGGACAGTTTATGCACATATTGCTTCCAACAGTATCCTAGAAACCACATTAGTTGTTGCATTACTACACAGGTACTACATGGGTAGTAAAATCTAACTGAATGCACTGAAATGGCCTAAGGGCTGGAGGCTTCCCTCCCCCTTTTTGTTGAGAGAGAGGGAGGGAGGGGGAGAGGGGGACATTCATACCTAGTGCATGTATGTCTTGCCAGTCTTCCAGAACCCTTGGGGCGTCTCATACACACCTCTCATAGATCTCAGACTCAAACTGTCCTACCCAACCCTCCCTGACCGTCTAGGTTTTATTCCTTGGTTTACCCCAAGTTTTACTCACCTAGGTCCGTGCACGAAGTTGCCCGGTCCTTGTCCTGGTAATTCTCTGGTCCCCTCTCCTCAGTTCTTACCAATCACTATTTGGTCCGTGGGCCTGGCTCCATTCCACTTCCTCGACCTGCGACTGCAACCTTGGACCATTGAAATCAATGGGGCATGCCGTCCTCAATTGACCTCGCCTCCCGAAGATGTAGGAACAGATGCCCGAGGCCCCACATTTGGGCAGCCAATTTGTTGGAAATGAAATTAAAACACCAACAAAATTGGATTGGTAAGAAAAGAGTTTATTCTGCAGAAAATAGAAAAAGCACTTTGCAAAGTGCAGTGGATCTCTAAGAGAAGCTTCAACAGGAAGTTCTAAACCAGAGACCACACTCAAACATTCGAACTCATAACATTATATACACTTCTATCACGACGCCCCCGTCCCTTCCCCTTCGGTCCCGTTTGAAAGGACTTAAGAGGGCATAATCTTGTCCAAGACACCTAGCCAGAATACATCATCCCTCCCCCTGGTTACATTGTTTTGAACTTTGCCGCCACCCTTGTGTCTTGTTAAGTGTATCTTATAGCCAAACCTCCTGGAATCTAGTGCCTATGTGCAAGACTTGGCTAATCCTTTTATTGTTAATCAATTGTAACCGTTTTCTTTTTAAACTTTTTTGTTTCTCACAGTGGGTTGGGCTGAGAAAGAGTGACTGGCAGAAAGTTGCCCATAGCTAAGGCAGGACTTGAACTCACGGTCTGGCAGGGCAAAAATGCATGAGTTAGGATGGAGAGTTCTTTCAGTCTGACATAGTTGCTCAAGCCCATTTTTCAAACTACCAAGATATTTACATTATATAATCTACAAATTCCAAAGATCACTAACTATAGCATGCTTCAACAATCTTCTCACAAGTTTTTGGAGGACCGATATAGAAAAGTTCCCTATGAGATAAAACTATGCCCCTGCAGATAAGAGGCTATTGAAACTACAGCTCATGTCTTCTTACACTGTACAATATTCTCTATGAGGCTCATAAGACTTGCCTAATAAATTCTTACCTGAGAAACTCTGATCTTTTTATGTACAATTGTTATCAGATCTGTGATTTAGTTTCCTTGAACATAACCAAAATCTATTATACAGCCTGTAAAATTAGACATACCTTGACTAACACCACCAATTCCAACATTCTTATCCTGTTTTGTGTTATTATTTTTAACTATTTCTATCTGGACCATAATAAACTCTATATATGGATATTGTTCTTTTTTCAGTTCTTCAGAACACTTTCCCCATGAAATCCATGCCAATACAGATAATCTTCACTTACTGAGTGCCTTATTCGGGACGTTCAAAGTTATGATGATGTTGAAAAAATAATTTTATATCCAATGCCCACATTTACGACCTTCACCCCATCCCTTTGTCATGTGATCACCATTACAATCAATACATATTTTGGGGGGTTTTTTTCCACCTTGCAGAGTGGAGAAATTAGGGATTACAAAAGAATAAACAGGCACACTGAAGAATACACAACAAAAGCAATGAGCTGCTGCTGGCAGTTGCAAACACACTATGCAAACAGACATATTCCTATTGTGCGCCTACTTACTCCCTTGTAATCCCTTCCACTCCAATCTTTTCACTCTTTGGGGGGAGGAAGGCCACTTCTGCATCTCTCCTGTGGCTGACTTGTTTCCCCCACCTTGCAGAGAGATTACCAGGTAAGGAATTTCAAGAAAAATCCATTCTTTGCTACTTAAATACACAATTAAATGATAAACTCTTAGTAAAACCAAAGAAAACAATATTTTAACATTTACTTTTTTAGAAAGTGTTTCAGTTTTACTCTAAACCATTATTACAAATAAAATTAAATAATTCCAAGATTTAGTAGTCTAGTACTGTAATTACTAGAAATTTAACTCCACTAAAATACAATTCTTAGACAAACAATTCATGTAAAACAGGGGTCTTCAAACTTGGCCCTTTTATGACTTGTGGACTTCAACTTCCAGAATTCCTCAGCCAGGCACACTGTAAAAGAATTTAGCAAAAACATTTACACAAACAGATTTGTATTTATTTTCTTTTGCATACAGAGTTTATATACAGTAACATGAAATTACTGCTGGAGTTTGTACAGCAGACACGTATATTAGCACAGCCAATTTGAAGTGAATTTAAATGTGACTGTTTGGAAACACAACAAATTCCATCTTTATTATAAAATGTTTCTTGATGAGCTATAATCCGTAATAGTACTAATATACTGTTAAAAACCTCAAAAGTTGCAATTGATCTATACACTTTTTTAGCTTTTAACTAGAATTATTTTATAGATTTTTTGTAATCTTGGATGCATAATTTACCTCCTGATTATGTGAAATACACTAACAATATATAGCTTCTATGATTATGTGAAATACACTAACAATATATAGCTTCTATGCCAACATAAAAAATAACATTATACTTCAAAATATGACATAAAGATGTTTCATGAGATTAAGTAATTGGATTCAGCTATATAGCCTTGTCTATTCTTTACATAAATGATTAGAAAAAGAAATCACTGCACATAATAGAAAGGATAAATTGAAGTATCTTTTTAATTTTCTGTTACAGTAACATTCCTTATTATTCTTCGCAAATAAGCGTTTCCATCGCAAATCTGTTCTCAAAATGTCGAATTATCCGGCAATTATCTGCTTCACGCTTGCGAATGCCTATAATGGGAGAACGAAAAAAACATTGTTATTTTATAAAGAACTATGTATATATGTCTTGTATGGAAAAATATTAGCCTCTTAAATACAAGAAAGAAAGAATACTATACAAAGAAACAGTGACCTCATTCTGAACTGAAATGACAGGTAATATGCAAGTACAGGTAATTCTCATTTGATGATCACTCATTCAGTGACCATTTGAAGTTGTGATGATGCTCAATGAGTGGTGTTTACAACCAGTCCTAAAGGTTTTGGTCATGACAGCACTCCATGGTCATACAATTGCAATTTGGGTACTTTGCAACCAGTTCATACTTATGACAGTCGAAGTGACATGACCACCATTTGCAACTTTCCCTGCCATCTTGCCACAAGCAAAGTCCATGGAGAAGCCAGTAGAGAAGGTTGTAAGTCGCTTCTGCCAAGGAGTTCTGCTATGAGATCCCAAGGATCTTGTACTCTGTACTATGAGCTCACACTGCAGCACACACACACACATAGCTGTACTCAGGCAGCACTGCAATACCTTGACCCCAGTCCACATGTACTCATACAATGCAATAGTACCTCCCATTCTTAACAGTGGGAAAACAGGTGAGTCTAAACAAGAGCATTATGGGGTTTTTTTTAAAGCACTGTTCTTAACTGGAAGTATATCCAAACTTTTCCATCTGCTACCAGTATCTTCACTGGTTTCTTATTTTAAGTATGTATTGAAATTTGTAGAAATATATTAAGTTTAAGTTTGTATTAAGTTTGTATTATGAAGAGATCCTATCAGTTTCCAGTCACTGAAGAGATTCAGTGGATTCTATCAGTGGACCAAAGATGGATGAACTTATATTTGTGTCTAATTAGGAATAAGCCTCATTGAGCACTGTGGAATCTGTTTTCAAGCTGCATAGCACATCCTTCAAACCCTCTTTATCTCATTTAGAGAGACATCAAATAAATAAATTACTTGATTTAAATAATTTAAATAAGTAATCAAATCTTCAGTTTTAATTTCAAATTTCTTCACTGTATTGTCCTAAGTAATACTACTGTAAAATAATGCACTGTTTAAATATACTAGACATGTTCAAACTGCCAATGAAAAACTTCTAAATGTCATTAATGTTGATAAGTTTAACCACATGCTTAATTTATTAAAGTGAATGGTAGTACATAAATTAATTTAGGTTTGCAAAACATTTGTGGGGAGAAATGTACAAAAATGCTTTGATATATGAAAGTAATATTAGTAAAATTAACATATTATTACACCAAATAATTTAGCCACAGGTATACCATCATTTCTTCTTATAACAAAATATATTCATGATTTATCAGGAACCATTTTTTTCCAACCAGAACATTGTGTTAAGCATAGAATTACTGACATTGCAATCTGACATGAAATATTCAAAGGCAAAAAAAATCTGTTTTAAAGCTTTGCATAAATTAAATATGCACATCCATAACATTAAAAATTAGGTGATATAAGAGGCATGGATATTTTTATGGATATTTTTATAATAAAGGCAATCCTCATGTAAAATCCACTTATTAGTCACCCTTTGACATTTTAATGGTACTCCTAGTAGCATCCCCACAATCACATGATCACACTTGGTGACTTATAATTATGATGCTGCAACATCCCATGGACACATGATCACCACTTGTGACTATCACTGCTGGCTTCCAATAAGCAGTCAATCAGAAAGCAAGAGGTTGCAAATGGTAATTGCAAGATGCTACAATCACACAGGATTCACCTAATTCCAGCAACTGTTGTCTTAGATGCAACTCTTGTCATAGATTAGCATGGTCACATGATGTCATTGCTTATGATTGGATCACTTAGTGATAGCTTTCCTGATCCCGGTTAGCATTAATAAGAGAAAACTGTATATTTTATTACAATGCAGCAAAATATATACAGACTGAAATATTACTTCTGCATAGTTTCATGTGGAAACCAAATATTAATTATGGCAATCTTTATTATCTCATCTATGTTTATACCATACCTTTCAGTGCTTCCTTACGCTGCAATTTGTAAGTCTCTTTACCACGACAAAGGCGATAAATGAAAAAACCCAGTTGATCCACATTTTCAATGCGGTCAGTGACTATCATGTGTTCATGAATCAAGTATGATTGTGGCAAGTATGTTCCAGCCTACATAAATTAATAGAAACATGGAAGAGTTTAAAATAAAAAAATTACATCAATTTTCATTTAACTTTTTTATTATTAATTCAATTTATGTGAGTTTATATTTATTAACTTATATCTATAATTTTGCCTCTGAAAAATATGGATCTTAAGAAACAGAAAAAGTAGCCTATTTTTTTTTGAAGCGATCATAGTTTAAATCATGGACTGAGAACCAATAGTCCCCTACACAAGTTAGTGATATTTTCTTTGCCAGAGAAGTTTGTCTTAAAAAAAATACTTCCAGGATGCCAACTGATTTTTAAAATCTAAATGGCATACCGTTAAACTATTCAAGGCCAACATTTTGGGCATGCTGCTGCTGTATGATACTCAGGTGTGTAAGAAAATGTGCAACTTGTACTCTTTGCAAGCTATTTCTAAAAACAGCACACACTGGGCTCAGCTCAGGGCTCATGCAAAACTGCAATACTTAAGATCTCAAGCAAGACAAATTCTATGGGGAGATCCTTGTGGTTCATCTTAGCCCCAAAGAATAGATTTGTATTCACTCTGGAAAGGCAAATTGTGGTCTGTCAATACCAACTTTACATTATTTACTTTAGGCCTCATAAAAACCTGAACAGAACTCAAAAAGAGGGTCTGGAACTTAGATCATCTAGTCAATCAAGGCCCAAATCTCCCATGTCTGTAATAAAATTCTCCCATCTTCCTTGACTCTCCTTGAGTATTTTTTCTTTTTATGATCATGCTTGCTTCACATACCGTGTTTTCCCGAAAATAAGACCCAACCGGAAAATAAGCCCTAATGCCCCTTTTGGAGCAAAAATTAATATAAGACCCGGTCTTATTTTCGGGGAAGCACGGTAAGAGGATTTTTTTCTCTGGCACAAATTATATACCCAACAGGGTGACAATTTAAAGATATTTCCATCTATATCCCATATTTTATTAAAATGTCCACTCTGCACACAATGGCAATTAAAACATATAACTCCAATTATAACAAATTCTCCTCATTATAAGGAGAATACTGCTTTCCTTTAAACTGACCAATTTCTCAATGGCAATGGCAAAATTATTACCTGTAGCTTTAGCCCATGGGAAACAGTTGGTGCCTTCTTTATAGTTTTGGTTACGTTTTATGTAATTTATGTATATTCATTTTTTAAATGTGTCTGATGTTTGTTAGACCATAAGCAAAGAACAAATTGCACATAAAATCTGATTTTGGTGAGAGGCATTATTTAGCATAGGATAATAAAAATGTTAATATAAATGAGAGTGGAAGAAGCATCTTAAGAGGTTTAACTTAGTAACTGATAGGAATTTTTTTGCATTTTACTTGCCCTGACAATGAAACAAACACCATATCAGAAACTGTACAAAGGAATCCACTAATATAATAGGATAAAATTAAATTCACAGTCATTCTAACCAACTGGGACCTAAATTATCTTAGTGAAGATAAGGATTACTGAATACATTAAAAAAAACTCTATTTTAGTCTTACTTTGATGTTGATCAGCAGTTCTAAGAAGTTTTTTGGTGGCATAACAACTGACGTATTCAGAGAAATGACATAGCACTTATTCAGGCTGAGGTCAAGATAAGCTGTAAGTTTCTAACAAAGAAATGGCATGAATCTCTTAATAAGGTTAGAATATGTAACATTGTATATAATTTAATATACTATACTGCTCTTTCAAAGATCATAATTTAAATACTCTAGGTATCATTTATTCCATTTTTAGTTATTAAAACATTATTTTCTGATAACAAGAAAAAAAAGAATTAGCATAAGGAAAAATTACAGAATAGTTTCTACCTTATATGTTCCAGATACATTTAAAACAGTAAATACAGATCAAAATAATACATAATAGGTATATAACATAATAATAGAATTGGAAGGGACCTTGGAGGTCTTCTAGTAGTCCAATCCCCTGCTCAAGCAAGAGACTCTAGAGGAGACAGACAAATGGCTGACTTCTAGTTATGGAGCACCCACAACTTCTGGAGGCAAACTATTCCACTGATAAATTCTTATCACTATCAGGAAATTTTTCCTTAGTTCTAGGTTGCTTCTTTCCTTGATTAGTTGCCATTCGTTGCTTCTTGTCCTGCTTTCTGGTGCTTTGGAAAACAGATTGACTTCCCCCCTTCTTTGTGGCAGCCCCTCAAATATTGGAACACTGCTATCATGTCTCCCCTAGACCTTCTTTTCACTAGACATACCCAATTCCTGCAACCATTCTTTGTATGTTTTAACCTCCAGCCCTGTAATCATCGTTGTTACTCTTCTCTGCACTCTTTCCAGGATCTCAACATCTTTTTTATATTGAATAGAATAGAGTTGGAAGGGACCTTGGAGTCTTCTAGTCCAACCCCCTGCTCAAGCAGGAGAACTTATACCATCTCAGACAAGTGACTGTCTACCCTCTTCTTAAAAATCTCCAGTGATCCCCACGATTTCTGGGGGCAAGCTATTTCACTGGTTAATTGTTCTGTCAGAAAGTTTCTCCTTAATTCCAGGTTGCTTCTCTCTTTGATCAGTTTCCAACCATTGTTTCTTATCCTGTCCTCTGGTGTTTTGGTGAATGTGACCCCCTCTTCTTTGTGGCAGCCCCTCAAATACTGGAATACTGCTATCATGTCTCCCCTGTTTCCTATTTTCTTTAGACCAGGGCTTTTCAACCTTTTCACCCATTGTACCACTTTTAGGATATGGTAACATCTGAGTACCACCAGACGCCTAGGAAGGTGTCAAAAACTTGATGACCAAAAAAAAAATAAAAAAATAAAAAAAGGAAAAAAGTGATAAAGTACAGGTGTACAACAGTTCGCTTAGTGACTGTTCGAAGTTACAATGGCACTGAAAAAAATGCCCCCTAAGCCACAGCCGAGCAAGACACTTGCCTGTCTGCGCTCTTCCTCCTGTCCGAGGTTTTCATTGTTGTGAGCATTTCTGTTGAGGATTGGCAGCGGGGGTGGGGTGGGGGGGTGTTTGGTTTTTATTCCCCTCGTCTGCTGGTGGTTTCAGCAGGTTTTGGTCACTTCACATGACCCTGGGACACTGTGACCGTCATAAATATGAATCAGTTGCCAAGCATCTGAATGTAAATCACAAGACCCTGGATATGCTGCAACATTCCAGCTGATCGGCGCTTCTTCTGGGCTCAGCAGAAGTGCCAGGATCAGTGCTGCTTTCCAGCTGATTGCTGCTTCTTCAGGGCTCAGCAGAAGCACCAGGATCAGCACGGAGCTCCAGCTGGAGCCTGGCGCTGATCCTGGTGCTTCCACTGAGCCCTGACAGCCCCGAAGAAGCGCCGATCAGCTGGAAAGCGGCACTGATCCTGGCGCTTCCGCTGAGCCCTGACAGCCCTGCAGCTCCAGCCATCTCTCACTCAGGCTTGTGCGGTGCTGCCACTGGTTCAGCTCATTCCCCTCCCCCACTACTTTTCTAGAATGGTCGCATACCACCTGCCAAGTGTCAATGTACCTCAGGTGGTACCCGTACCACTGGTTGAAAAGCCCTGCTTTAGACTAGCCAAATCCAAGTCCTGCAGCCGTTCTTAGTATTTTTGAGTCTCGAGGCCTTTGATCATCTTAGTTGCTCTTCTCTGAATTTTCTCCAAAGTCTCAACATCTTTTTTGTGATATGGTGACAATTCAGGTTCTATCTCTCTATTAATGCAGCCTAGGATTGCATTGGCTTTTTTGGTGGCTGCAGCACACTGCTGGCTCATATTTGAGCAGTTGTCTACTAGGATTCCAAGATCCCGGTTGCAGTTGCTGCTATTGAGCCAGGTTCCACCTATTCTACACCTGTAGAATTTCTTGCCTAATGTAAAACCTTACTTTTCACAATTGAATTTCATTTTGCTAGATAGGGCCCGGTGTTCAAGTCTGTTGTGATCTTTCTGGATCTTGAGCCTATCTTCTGGGCTGTTGGCTATTCCTGCCAGCTTGGTGTCATCTGAAAATCTGGTAAGTTCCCCTTCTATTCTCTCATGTAAATCATTTATGAAGATATTGAACAGCATGGGCCTAAGATGGAATCTTGGGGTATCCCACTACTTACTTCCCTCCATATACATGTAGTTCCATTAAGGACTACACATTGAGTGCAGTTTGTCAGCCAGTTACATATCCATCTTGTGGTGATGCTGTCTATCCCATATTTTTCTAACTTATTATAAAGTAGGTTTTGATCTACTGTGTAAATGCCTTACTGAAATTCAAGTATACTATGTCCACAGTATTTTGCTGGTCCACTAATTTTATCACTTTGTCAAAGAATGAAATAAGATTTGTTTGGCATGATATGTTTTTGACAAACCATGTGGACTTTTGGTTATAACTTTGCTTGCTTCTAGCAACTTTGCTTGCTTGTAGATCTGTTGCTTGATTATCTTTTCCAAGATTTTCCCAGGTATTGATGGCAGGTTGATTGGTCTGTAGTTTCTTGGATCCACTTTTTTCCTTTTTTTTTTTTGAAGATGAGAACCACACCAGCTTTTCTGGTATTTCCCCAGTGCTCTAGGATCTTTGAAAGATATGGTTCAGTGGTTCTGAGATTACATCTGCCAGTCCTTCCGAACTCTGGGATATAATCCATTTGAATTTGAACTCATCTAGGGTGGACAGGTGTTCTCTTACCATATTCTTACCTATTTTAATTTGTATTCCCAGTCTGTCTTTTACAGTTCTATTTTTGGTAGGTTGGGCTATTTTTGTATTTTTTAAATATTATTATATTAAAATTTTAGTACAATATATCACAAATAAAAGGTAAGAAAGAGTGTACTTTGAAAACTCTAAATAGTATTAAATGTTTCAGGCTAGCACTAACCCAGAAAAGGCACATTGCTTTTAGAAGGTTGGATACAAGCAGTCTTTTGCTTGTTCTTACATACCATATTTTTCACTCTATAAGACGCACTTTTCCCCCCCCAAAAGATGGGGGAAAATGTCTGTGCGTCTTATGGAGCGAATGCCGCCTCCCACCGCGCTGCTCCGCGTCCCGCGCCTCTGTGTCTCAAGCCTCTGTGGCACAGAACTGCTGGCGTTATGCTTGGGTGGAAGACGTTTTCTTTTACAGATGGGGCGGGTGGGCCTGACATTCACGCGCAGGCAGGACCCCGCCTTCCGAGCCACCGCTTCCCCATCGCCCTCCACGTCAGCCGTCTCCGTCTCCAGACCTCCCAGCTGACGGGCGCAGGTCCGGGGCTCGCCAGCTGATGGGCGCAGGAGTTCGGCGCTGCAGCGTCCTCCCCTTCGCCCTCCGCACCGGCCAAAGCGTTGCCTGACATTCCAGCTGATGGGCGCAGGTCCGGGGGTCGCCAGCTGACGGGCGCAGGAGGTAGGTGCCGCCGCGGCCTCCCAGCCGCTTGCTTCTTCGGCTGGAGCAATTGCAAGGGCTTGCATGGTCGCCGGCGGCGGGGAGCGCGTCAGTGGCCCTTGGGGACCATGCAAGCCCTTGCAATCGCTCCAGCCGAAGCAAGCGGTTGGGAGGCCGCGGCGGCGCCTACCTCCTGCGCCCATCAGCTGGCGAGCCCCGGACCTGCGCCAGTCAGCTGGGAGGTCTGGTGACGGAGACGGCTGGCGTGGAGGGCGATGGGGAAGCGGTGGCTCGGCGGGCGTAGGAGGTAGGCGCGCGCGAATCCTGCACGCGAATGTCAGGCCCATCCGACCATGCAAGGGCTTGCATGGTCGCCGGCGGCGGGGAGCGCGTCAGCGGCCCTTGGGGACCATGCAAGCCCTTGCAATCGCTCCAGCCGAAGAAGCAAGCGGTTGGGAGGCCGCAGCGGCGCCTACCTCCTGCGCCCGTCAGCTGGCGAGCCCCGGACCTGTGCCCGTCAGCTGGGAGGTCTGGAGACGGAGCCAGCTGGCGTGGAGGGCGATGGGGAAGCGGTGGCTCGGCGGGCGGGGTCCTGCCTGCGCGCGAATGTCAGGCCTACCCGCCCCATCTGTAAAAGAAAACGTCTTCCGCCCAAGCATAACCTTTAAGGATTTTAAGGATCTTTGAGAGGGAGAGAGAAATAGAGGGAGAGAAAGAGGGAAAGAGAAATAGTATAGTACCGGTATGTGCGTCTTATGGTCAGGTGCGTCTTATATAGCGAAAAATACGGTAATTAAATTATTTCCTCACTTGTACAATAGGGAATACAGAACTTTGCAGGCTGTAATAGCAATAGTATTCAGACTTATATACCGCTCCACAGTACTTTACAGCCCTCTCGAAGCAGTTTACAGCATATTGCCCCCAACAATCTGGATCTTCATTTTACCTACCTTGGAAGGATGAGTCAACCTTGAGCCACTGAGACTCGAACTGCTGAACTGCTGGCAACTGGCAGTCAGCAGAATTAGCCTGCAATACTGTATTCTAACCATTGCACCACCATGGCTCTTTAACCAATCTATGCAATCCTTTTACTTCCTCCACTCTGGGACCTATTTCGGCTTTCTTTGTGCACCTACCAGTATATATACAAATAGAGCCAAGACACCAGAAATAATCAGTAACTTCAATGGGAGAACAAGTTCCTGTTCCTCCAGTTACAATGTTATCCAGAGTAATATCTCTTACCCTCTGAAAATCATGAACAATATCAGCTGGATCATTGTCGGCAAATTCTGGAACTGGCACACTAATGAACTCAACATCCTCCTCCTGGAGGATCTGGATACTCTCTTCAATTATCTGATAGCGAGGAGCTGAAGCAATTGTATCTGAGTCAGTTAGGGTTAAGCCATCCTCAATATACTTAATTCCACAGAAGTAAACATTTTCCTAAAAAAACAAAGGTAATAATACATAAGTCAACGCAAACAAAGCAGAGTTCATGAATCTTGTTGCAGCATATATCCACCCCAGCCTCATCACTGTTAAATTTCAAATCTGGAATACTAGCCACTCTGTTTTTAAACTTATTAGATAATATTATAGTTTATTCAAAGCAGAATTTACCATCAGAAGATTATTATTTATCATCTAAAAAGAGACTTCACAGTTTAAACTTACAACTTTTTGTACTGGCTAACCATTAAGTAATAATTACTACAAAACCTCAGTATAGGTTCATACAAATTTCATACATATTTGTTTAATTATTAAATCATCCACAGTTGACTACATTAGTGTTATTCAGATCAACAATCATTCTGGTTTTGGTTCAGACAACACAAAGAACAAAAATTATAAATGAGAACCCATGTTGTGGCTTAGCACAAAGGTGAGCATTCTGTAGGCCACAAAAGATAACTAGGGCTTTAAACATAAAAAAAATCAACAAAATATATTTTAAAAAAGATAACTAGGCTTTTAAAGATTGCATCAGCAAAATTTGCCAAAAAAAGGCCAAACTTTGGTAATATAGATTTTTTCAACTTTTAAGAATGAAAGACAAACTATTTCCATGATAGTATCAACTATTCAGAACATCTGCTGGCAAACAAGATAAAAACTACCAAGCCCCTTCAGAAATCACCCAATGGCCGTTTTTGGCTCACGCGCGTGTTCCGCAGCTAGAGCTCCAGCCCCAGTCTTCAAAGGAAGGGAAAACTGAAAATCGAGCCTCAAAGACTAAGAAGGAGATGAACTGCAGCACTGATCCCAGTGCTGCCTGAAAAAGAGAAGGTAAGCCTGCTTGCAGAGGGGAGACAGCTCCCCTCAGCTTGAAGCTCTTGTTGTGAAGGGAAGAGGAACGGAAGCCTCCGTTCCTCAGGGAAGGTGAGGACAAGATTATTCTGGAGAACAGTCAGGCTAAAAACAGCGCTGATTACAGCGCTGCTCAGAAGACTGTGGAAAAAGGAAAATCCACCAATGGGAAGTGGACCTGTCTATTAGCCAAACTTGCACGTCTGTCCTGGGCAAGATCAAGTCGAGACTGGGACACCCTAATCCAGGACAGGCGTTGCAACTTTGGCTGACTTGATCTGATTGGGCAGGAACACAGTCTAAACCCATTGGTGGATTCTCCATCTCCAGTGCTGGAGAAACAAACTCTATTTTAGCCCAATGTGTTGTGCAAACCAGCCCACTGTATTAGTTTCACTATATGCTGTGTACCTAGAAAATTAGATTAATTCCATATGTATGTTAGATGAAGTTGTCACCAGGCTGTTTGGATAGAATATTTAAGAAAATTTTATATCCTGTAGGCTTCAATTAACTTTCCAACATTGGCCTGGCTCCTATAACTAGTGAATTTAAAGATCTTGTTAAACTGCACAGGAGTTCAAGCAAAATAATGATACCAAAAAAATAATGCCCTAAATAACTGCTGCATCCAGAAAAGTAATCTTTCTAGGCAAGAAAGAAGAGCTAGTTAGCTAGCTGTCCTTCTGAACCTGGCTGATAAAGAGGAGCAGTAGATCTCCTTTCTGCTATCGTAACACTTGTTGCTACTTGGGAGAAAAAGAACAGAGGTCCTGGTCACTGCTTTTCTCTCTCTCTCTTAGGTTTTGTATCTAAGCTTTAAAAGTAAAAATGTTGGGAACTGAAAAATATGCTGCTCTGAGTGTCTGAAGGGAAGGCGAGATATAAATATCACAAATAAATAAAAACATTGATTTCCCCCCCTCTTTCTCTAATGTAAAACACATTCAACAGCTTACATTTCTCCCAGAAACTTTAAACAATTTCCATGTTTGATATAGTTAATATTTTATTCAGGTTAAAAATATATTGAGAAAGTTTCCTTTGACAGTATATATCATATATTTGCCATTTGCAACATTTCTCACTAAAATCAGTAAGAAACTTTAATAAGCTGAAAAGCTTCTACCAGTTGAAAAACTAAAGAGATAATCTAGAGCAGGGGTGTCAAACTCGCAATGTCACATGACGTGTCGTGACATATCGTGACTTTTTTGCCATTGCCGGCAATGGGGTGAGCGCAGTTTCGCTATGATGCATCCGGCCCATGGGCCAGCAGTTTGACACCCCTGATCTAGAGTTATCCCCAAAGCCTTAATTTTCACAGCAGGAGCGCTGGCAAATATTTCCTAATAATAAGCTTAAATCCAAATGTATTTAGAGTTTATGTTGTATTGGAGTTAATTTTCTCAAGTTTTAAAATATTAAAAATGAATTTTATATTAAGACTTAAGCTGATAAGCCAAGTTGGACAAATCCTAGTAAGTTAACAACAAAAACATTCAAAGCTTGGTCATATACATATTTCCAGCCTACCTGAATTTGAAAATATTTGTACAGATAGGCACCGCCAAGGATGACAACAGCAAGCATAAAAGCTAATCCAAAACACATACACCAGCACCAAGCTCTTCTTTGTCCAAGAGGCACCACTTCTGCTGGATCCTAGGAGGTCACACACAAAAAAGTAATCAATAGTGAGGTATATCCAGCTACTACATCATGTAGTCACCACTTGTCTGCTATGTGAACTGGCTTCCTTTCTTATCTTCTTTTCCACATTGCACAGCCACCAAATCTTCCACAGAATCCCCAAACTACCTTCTGGAGTGGCAGGTGGAATTCTAATGCAGAAGCTATTCCATCAGGAAAAAGAAGTGTCACTTATTTCTCCCCAGGCCACAAATCTAATTATTTTTAGGCAGTTTTTAATTATTAAACAGAATTTGACTATAAAGTTTTCAGGCACTCTGAAATATGAAGGCTTACCTGTTTCAGACATACACACTCAATGTGCAGATAACTACAGTGGCTGAGATACTCAAATTATGTGGGCAGGAAACTGGGAGTAGCACTCTAGATAATGGATTATACTGTACAGATCGATAAATCTCAGACAAAATGAAAGTATTTTAAAATGTATCAGATGATGTTAGATAACATCTTCAGGTCAAGGTCAGCTCCTGATACTGTAGATACATCTGTGCAAATTTCTTGGCATACCAATGCTTTTCTCCAAGTGTTTAATTTCCTAATTAAAGTAACAGCTGTAGAATTTCCTGGACTAACTACAGGTAGTCCTCAACTTATGATCACAATTGAGCCCCAAGTTTCTGTTACTAAGCAAGACAATTAAGTACGTTTTGCCCCACACTTTTCTTGCCACAGCTGAAACACTGCAGTTGTTTAGTAACATTCTTTTTAAGTGGGGACTTCCGGTTTGCTGTGCGGCCACCATGGACGGTTGGGAGACTTGCTCTCTCTCCCCCTTTCAGTTTCAGATCGCCGGGGGGGGGCTGAAAAGGGCCGAAAGTTGCCCCAAAGAGGCAACCAGCAAGGAGGGGCTCTCGCTGGATCGTGGGAGAGCAACAACTCTCCCATTGGAGCTGGCGATCCCTCCAAATCGGCGGACAAAAGGACTGGCCATAGAAATATGGCTCGTCCCTAGGCTGCAGTCAGCCGAAGTCACACTACCATCTGGCAACTTCAAAGCAGCGTGGAAAGGACTGGGTGAGATTTACCTCTCTTAAATCCTAATTGCTTTTTTGTAACTATTCAAGCTGCTAAAGTACTTTCCACCCTGTGGAGAGGGAAGGGGGATTTTAGCCCTCTCTCTAGAAACAGCAGCGATTGAATATACAGGGGAGTTTTGAAAACGTTGAAAAAATAATTGGATCCCAATTGTAACTTTATTTCCTAAAGCTTGTGGATTAAAAGATTTTTGACTATCTACTTTTTACTTTCTATTTTTATTTGAAAGTCTGAGTTTTTCCTCTTAAAATAGAAGAAAAAACCCGAAAGGATTAAAATAACTTTGAGATTTAAAGGAATTCCTTAAACAGTGGGGTGACATCTTGTGGCTAAACCTGAAATTGCAATTTATTATTCTTAAAGAAAAGAGACTTGGCTGACAGTTCAGAAAACAAGATAAGATTCATGTGACCTTGAACACCAGCTGTGAGACTTTTAGCTCTGTTTCTTATTTACTGGGGGGTGGGACTGTAAAAGATTTCAATTCAACTCATCACTATGGAAGACCAGGAACAGATCTTTTCTATGGAAGAAATGCAAAAACAATTTTTTGCTATATTGAAAATAACTTACCAAACTTACCAAACTCTTCTTACAGCTGGTGATGAAATAAGAGCTTTCGGGGAAAACCAGAAAGCGTCTTAGATATGCAAACTCAAACTTTGACTATAACTAAAAACCTATACAGAATACAATAGAAAAAATCAAACAATTAAATATTATCACAGAAGATCTAACAAGTACAGACAATAGAAAATTCAGAAAAAAATCTACAACTTGGATGGAGGAAAAAACCTGTTATATAATTCAGAAGGAATTTGAAGATCAAGAAGAGAAACAGATGGAAGAAAAGATAAACAGTTCAGGACAACTACGTCAAGAGGAGAAAATAAAGAGACGATCTGGTAGTCCTGCCAGACCCCTCAGCCTTCCAAAAATGGTGACTGGATGGTCATCTCAATATGACATAATATATACAATAATACAAGAATTCTTTGAGGACCCTGAAGCAAGGACGTGGAAGATGATTTGGTAAAGAAAAAAAGCCAAAATGAGACTGAAGAAGAGTGGAGTGTGGACATATTTAGGTTTAAAATAGAATATACTTAAGTAGACAAGACCCGTATTTTGAATATGAGATATTGTTATGATGTGAAGATAAAGAAAAATGTTGGCTAATTAAAACCTAGATGCATAAATATCAACAGTTAAATTGAAATATTGAGTTGTTTATAAGGTTAGACAAAGGTGATTAAGACATATATATGTTAAGAGTGATGTAACATAATTAACATGTTTTGATGTAGTGATAAGAATAAAAATTATAAGCTTAAATATGAGAAAGTGGACATAAGAAAGAATGCTGAAATGGGAGAAATTTTGGTTATTGAATCGATAATATTTGGAATTTATAATGAAAATAAGAATATTATATTGTATTACTAATCTGTTGATATAGAAGTGAGATAGATATGTATTTGGAACACTAGATGTTGGGTGGAATTGTGACAAAGGAAATTGGGGTCATTTAAAAATTTGAAAATGATAAATATTAAACGTTTAATTTAAATATCAATGCAAAATTAAAGCTGGGAAAATTCATAAGGTTATTGATGGTCCAAAAGATGGAATGTTAAAATAAATAAGACATATAAAATTATTGATAAATGTAAGAAAGCTATTAAGTAGCTGATGGACAGAATAAGAACTATACTAATTTAAATAGGCTGCAAGAGACAGTATGTATTAAGGGAAAAAAGAGAGGAAATATTGGCTATAATAGTTGGAGATTTGTATTAATAATATTTGTATGTAATGGAATTATTGTAACCCAGGCACCACGTTGCTTTTCAAAGATATAATTGTAACATTGGAAAAATAATAAAAAGTTTTTAAAAAAACATTGTTTTTAAGTGAGTATGATTTGACCATTGACTTTGCTTTTCAGAAGGTCACAAAAGGTAATCACATGATGCAGGACATTACAACCATTATAAATACATGCCAGTAGCCAAGCATCCAATTTTGATCACATGATCATGGGGATGCTGCAACGGTCGGGTGAAAAATGGTCATTAATTACTTGTGATCAAAAAGTAAGGGACTGTGGAAGGTGTAGTTCAAAACATTTGGAGCAGAACCGCATGCTATTGTGCAGTAATAAAATTCATCTTGTGAGACTTCTGTACTGTTACCACCCAAGCAGAGGCAGACTTCTGTCATATAACCACTAAATGAATAGTTGTAAGTCAAGTTGTTCTACCTCTGCTTGAGTGGTAACAGCACAGAAGTCTCACAAGATGAACTTGACTCTGGCTGCACTCACTACCTCATAAGCCCAACCTTGGTGGGGAATTTAGGGATCCCGGTGAGGAGGCTGAAGAAACCAATTTCGTTTGGTCAATTAGATGGGGGAATGCCGCCCACTCTTGCCACATTACCCGTCCAACTCACCATAGGGGACCACACAGAGACTCTAACGTTTGTGGTGACCCCTGGGATGGAATGCCCACTCACATTAGGTATGTGTGGTTAACAAAATGGAACCCAAGGGTGGACTGGAGGACAGGAGGACTGAGATTCCCAAAAGGGAAAGTAGAGGTGAAAGGACCAACTCAGGTAAAAAAAAGGGGGGGGCTCTGAAAGTGCAGCAGATGTGAGGGAAAAGGAGTTGGAAGGCATTCCAGAAAAATATCAGGATCTAGCTGAAGTGTTCAGCGAAGAGAAGTCCGACGAATTATCCACCCCCCGCAACGACCCAAGGACTGTGCTATTGAAATACTCCTGGGGCAAAATTGCCTAAGCCAAAATTATACTCCATGACCCCACGAGAGCTAGAGGAATTACAAAAGTTCATAGAGAAAAATCTGGAAAGGAGGTTTATCCAACCGGCGAAGCCAAAAACTGCAGCCCCCGTATTGTTTCATGAAAAGAAGGATGGGTCTCTTCGTCTCTGCGTAGATTACAGATCTCTCAATGCAGTGAGTGAGAATAATCTTTACCCCCTCCTTCTGATGAAGGATGTGCTAGCACACTTGTAAAAAGGAAAAATCTTTTCAAAACTGGACTTAAGGAAAGTGTATTATAGAATTAGAATTAAAGAGGGGGACAAATGGAAAACAGCATTCTACTGCCCCTTAGGTGTTTCCAATTCAAAGTTTTGCCTTTCGGACTTCAGGGGGCACCCGCAGTGTTCATGCAATTAATAAACGATGTGCTCCAGGAGCACCTATATAAAGGGGTGCTTGTTTACCTGGATGACATCCTAATATTTACTGAAACATGTAAGAGGAACATGTAAATCTGGTCACAGCAGTACTGAAAAAACTGCGAGCAGCCCACTTGTATGCCAAATTATCTAAATGCTAGTTTCATAAAGAAAAGATTGAATACCTGGGGTATCGCATCTCGCCAAGCAGCATAGAGATGGACTCTGGAGAGGTCCGGGCTGTTCTAGAGTGGGCTCCATCCCACACTAGGAAGCAGCTGCAAAGTTTCCTTGGATTTGCTAACTTTTACCGCCAGTTCATTCCCTCCTTTGCGTAAATCGCATGCCAATTACTAACCTACTGAAAACTGAAGGGGAGAGGAAACCGAAGCCCAGCCAACCTTTAAAATGGACAGTAGAGTGCCAAACCATGTTTGAAAGATTGAAAAGGTTATTTTCCGCGGAATCAGTCTTAAGACACCCTGACAATGACAAACCATTCGTGATTCAAGCTGATGTTAGTGATGTGGTCATGGGGGCAGTATTAATGCAGGAGAATGATGAAGGGAAACTACAGTCTTGCACGTACACATCGAGGAAACTCACAGAGACAGAGCAAAGATGGGTAGTTTGGGAGAAGGAGGCTTATGCCGTACGATGGGCCCTCCTAATTTGGCGGCATTTCCTGGAAGGGAACAAAATCCCC